AAGATGAGGAAAGAGACAGACTGAGAGACACAAAAAGAGAATTGAGTAAAAATATTTGTATCTTTATACAATCAAACGATTGTACACCTTGCTCATGATATCACTTCAAACAAACATAAACCTGAAACATTTTAAGCATTTCACAACACTGTACAAATGTGGTCAGACCAACACATCGTCGCCTCAGAACTATTTTGTCCAAAATGTTACAGTAAAAGCACTTTGGACAAAATAGTTCAGAGGCAACTACCTACTTTCACTTCCTTCAACTATGACCCGTCACAATTCGGAAAAACGTCTTTTTTAATGTTATTGTGAGACTCTTAAAATGATAAAAATATAGAGTCTGATATATGGCACAACAATATAATAAAATGCCATATATAACGTTCAAGCAACCTTTCTCTCCAAAGACAGTAAACAGCAGCAATATTATACACTTAAGAGAAAATGCAGCATGAGAGAGAAAAAAGTTCAACACAATACCAGATTATTACTACTATTTTTATTACAGTTATTCCAGTTCTCTCTATTTGTTTCAATCATTCTAGAATTGTTACATTTCATGTTCCCAAAAAAGCAAAGAAGTGAAAGAGTTGGGAATGTATAGACAGAAGTGTCAGTGCCAACTTTGACCAGGAGGTCAGTTTCTAGTCCTGACCGAGCAGCTCAAGTTAAGAGACAGATTTTTTTTCATGGAAAAATCATTTTAAATTTTATTGGAAGCCAATCCAAAACAGTCTGGAAGGCAGAATCTCACAAAAATACTTACAGTACAGCTATGGAGAAAGACAAAAAGGAAGGGGGAAAATCTGAAAAGTCACCAAGTGAAACTTTAAATCTATTACAGAAGGTCTAATTTGTTATTTGAATTTTTTTGAGTGTGTTAGTGAATCTTTTGTGGACCACCTACAGTCAATTCAATTGACTCATTTTCAACCATTTTTCTTTACCTTCGACTTAATAGTTTTGTAAAGCTCATTCACCATGCAGTGAGGCTTAATCTTATTAATTATTGTTGTTTATTATTATAATTTATGTTTTTATATAAAGTATTCATTACTCACACTGACCCCCTTCTACTTTCGTAAAGTTATAAGATTCACTTACTTGAAAAAAATCAATGCAGACTACAATGATAAATCGGTGTCTATTGTGTTATGGTATATAAGGCAAGCAAAAGAGGTGAGTCCTGGGTGGCAAAATCAGTCAATTCAGTTTACACCTTTCTGCTGCACTGTCAATCTATCACACTCAGTCAGGTTTGACCCTTCACAGTCAGGGTCAAAGCAGCCCACTTCCTGAATGATCAAAAATATGTGCCAATTGGGACATAAAACATCTATTTACAATAACATTTTTGAGAGCCCAAATATGGACATTTGAGTATTCATTCAAGACAAGTTCCATTATTATACTGCCGCCCAAAGAAACTGCTTGTTTTCTGAAATTGAGAAAAAAAAACGGTTGTTTTTTTAAATTTTCACACTTGACCTGTCTTATAAGTTATGAATGCTCCTAAACTTGACAGATGTGTGTGGAAATATAAAGATACATCTCTCTGCATCATCAAACGGATAGAGATAAAAGCCACTTGACTTATATAACTTTACCACTTTGAACACTGTTCTTTCAGATGTCGTATGTTTTTATTCCTGTCTTTGAGACAAGAAGGATTTGGGCAAGTCTAGTAAACCAAAAAATTATAAAACCCTAAAGCTTGAGTTTGTCAGATACGTTGCTGTGCCTTGGAACATGAGCATTTTTTTTATTGGGGGGGGGGGGGTTAGTGCTTTCTGGCGCTCACAACCGCATAAGCATAAGGTCATAAGCGCGCAGGACACATTAAACATTTTCAGTCGCTAGGAAATTTTGAATTTTGCGCTGGTGGCATCCGCAGCCTACTCTCATCAGTTTTAAATCACCAAGGGACCTTTACGAGTGCAACTTGCACACAGGACCTCTGAGATCTTTCGCCTTCATCCAAGAAGGCTAGGGGTAGATCTTTCCTACCAGAAGATCAGGTGGGTGGCTGAAAGAAAGAAATAAGAAGGAACCAAGCAGTAGCAGTAGAAACGCAGCAGAAAAAGTCAGGAGCCCAGAGGAGGGGGCAAGGAAGGTGAAGGGGTGGGGGCAGAAATTGAAGACGAAAGTAAACGACAGGGCATTGCTAGAGAGCAGGAAAGGAGAGAAAAGGAGACAATTTTGGAGAAGTAAATTTATTTCCGTCGTTACCCAGGTGCCTCAGCAGAGCAGTTTGCGCGCTTGTCTCCGAAGCGGAAATTCCAGGTTCGAGCCTCACAAATATTTTCCGCCTCCTCCTGCCCACCCAGGAGTAATGGGTACCTGACTTCGAGTTGGGAAGTAAACGCGGCATGGAAAGGAACTGACCACCCTATAACTATATATGTCGAAGGCCCAGGAAGTTGTCTAACTAACAAAGCAATCCCCCATGTCCGGTCACTTTTTCTTTATTTTTACCCACATTCGAACCAGGGACCTTTGAATGAGAGGCGAACACCTTATCCTCTAGGCCACAAGAGCCCCCGGACACGAGTATAAATTTTTTTACTTCAACCTAGAATATTATGAAGAGTTCTCTGTTGTCTAAAATTTAAAGCTCAGAAAATCTGCCTTTTGTCTCTATACAGTCAATTGACAATATGCAGACCCATTATTTTTAGGAAATTATTTTTAACTATTTTAGTACCAAGAATTATCAGAGTATAATTCTATAAAGCATAAAGGCAGCAATATATCAGAGCACAGAATAGAAAGACCTAAATGTTCATATAGAGAGGCTACTACCAATTGCTATCCACAGCAATTCGGAAATAAAAGAAAAGAGGCATACACTTACACACAAGATAAAAACTGCCCACAAATGGTCCCTCTCACAAGACTGTATTGTTAAACACAGTATTAATATAGCACTTCTACATTCTAGATTATATCAAACTCTAGTAACATTTTCATTTACACCGTTGGTCGCAGTCTTCCAATTTAGAATGTTTTATTCACGTTTGCAGGATTCGGGTAATAATAAGGGTTAGGGCGGTGCAGGCTTGATACTTTGAATAATAACTACTTTTATTAAGAATACGGATCAGAATTCAGGTTCACCCTAATCCTTTATATAAAATCACCTGCGTCAAGCGAATAAAAAAACATTACAAAATAAAAGGATGCCCCGTCGATATATATATAACTACTTCATTATTAATTTTAATAAAAACTTGTGTGTTATTTATTTTACTCATGGACCCATCCTATGCTCAGGTATTCTATCAACAGCACTTTCCTTGTTCATTTTTTTCTGCTTTAAACGAATTTTGACTTTATACATGATGGTAAATAATTAGTTCATGAGATGTGAAGGGTAAGATTGAAGAATACCGGACCAGCGGACTGACTTTGCCTATGTCTCAACCTTAGTAATTCATAATTTTCCCGTTTTTAATATCTCTCAATGGAGAATGTCGGACCGGTAGATCTATTCGTTGAAATTTTGTCAGGGGGGAGACCCCCCCTTTCTCGCGCAATAATGTACGAGTGGTCCGGTATTCTTCAATCTTCCCGAGATGTGTATATATGAATCTTTTTATACAAACTAAATTAC